ACAGTGTGCCTGGCTCATTATTTCTTTAAGTAGTTTTTCACCCCACTCTCTCCTGTCCTTCAGATATTCCAGTGACACAAATAAAGCTTTTCATTTTTGTTTTTTTCCCATTCTGTTCTTGTTATTTAGGGAATTTTTTTTGTTTTCTAGTTTACTGATTTTTTTCTTTGTTCTCTCCATTTTACTGTTGACCCCCAAGTATTACTGTATCTTTCACTTCTAAAATTTCTATTTGGTTCTTTATATCTTCTCTTGCCTTGTGGAGACTTTGTATATTCATTTTTTTCAAACATGTTTGTAATTGTTTACTTTTGAAAATTTAATTGCGTTTAATTTTAACATTTTTGTTATCTTACTGTTGGCATATATTGATTATCTCTTTTTTGAAGTCATACTGGTTTTTAGTATGATTTGTAGTAATTTTTTATTGTAACCAGGACATTCTAGGTGATACGAGATTTTTCTGTGTTAGTTTGAGTCTCTGAAGTCACTCCACCAGTGGAAGGTGGAGCACTGCCTTGTTACTGCCAGATTGGGGTTAATGTTCTTTCTGTTTTCCCACTTGGCTTCTCTTAACACCCAAGATGCAGGCTATGCAGAGGCTGGAATTCTGACTCCCCACTAGGACTTTATTGATACTTCCTTAGCTGAGAGGGGTATGAGTATGTCATTTCTGCTTCCCAGTTGGCCTCTACTGACCCCATGTTGGGAGGAGGTTGGGCAGTTGTAAAAGTGCTGACTTTCCATTAAACTTCTATGACAGCACCCCAGGAGGGAAGCAGGTGGAGAACTTCATCACTGCTAGATGAGTATTAAAGTTCAGGCTCTCCAGATGGTACCCACTGACGTCGTGGTAGGGGATAGTTCTCACCACCCAGCAGGAATTAAAGTCCTTGCTCTCTACTCAGACTTCTCTAACACCTCCCTTGTGGGCAGATTGGGGGAAGTAATTACAGCTTGGCAAGGGTAGAAATCTAGACCCCCATTGGAATTTGCTGGCATAGGTGGAGCCACATTTTTTTCTGTCGTATTTGGCTGAAGTAGAGCAGTTACTGTCTACTAGCTGTTTCCTGTCTTATTAGTTGCTCGTTTTTTGGTACTTGGACTAGAGTGAGCGGTTTTGGGGGAGCTTTTTTGTCTTTGCCCATTGGTGTTTTGGGGCTGCCGGCTCCTTCAACTTTAGATTTGGGATATATGACCAGAAAAAAAACAGGAACTTTACTGCATTGTTCCATGGGTCCCATGGTCCCTAGCTGATATGCTTTCATCTCTTTACCTCTCATAGTGATTTAGTCCCAGCTCACCTTCTCGGCCTCATTTCTTCTCTTTCATTTACATGTTTATATCCCCAGAAATGCACCACATTGTACAGTTCTGTTTCTTATGTTCAAGCAATATAGAACTTGCCATTTCATAACACTGTGACATGTTTTCACATCTTTAAGACTTTACTTATGTTGTGTATTCTTCCTTTAATATACCTAACCTCCTTTCTTTTTTTTTTTTGAGATGGGAGTCTTACTCTGTCGCCCAGGCTGGAGTGCAGCGGTGCGGTCTTGGCTCACTGCAGCCTCTGCCCCTGAAGTTCAAGTGATTCTCTGCCTCAGCCTGCTGAGTAGCTGGTATCATAGGCATGCACCACCACACCTAGCTAAATTTTGTATTTTTAATAGAGATGGGGTTTTGCCGTGTTGGCCAGGCTGGTCTTGAACTCCTGGCCTCTGGTGATCATCCACCTCAGCCTCCCAAAGTGCTGGGATTACAGGCATCAGCCACTGCCTCCTAACCTTCATCTTTTAATTCTTCCAGTATCTTCAAAGGCTTTACTCAAAGAACACCTCTTCTATCAAATCTTTTCCAGATCTCCAGTCATGATGATTTACTTCCTTTTCTTTGTTTTTGTGGTGTTTTGTACTTGATGTTGTCTCATTTTGTTATGACTGTTTGTGTCTCTTTTACTCCCTGGAATTATGAATCCTTTCATTATAGGGACATAACTTATTTTTCTTTGTATCTACAGCATTTAGGGTACTTGACATATAGTAATTGTTTAATAACTGTTTGCTGAGTGGATCCTGCCATGAAATTTACTCCCCCGAAATAGAGTTCAGGTGATTTGAAAGGCTGTTCTTAAAACAACAGTGTGGAATAGGAATGTGATTTTGACTGGGTGTGGTGGCTCATGCCTGTAATCCTAGCACTTTGGGAGGCTGAGGCAGGCAGATCACGAGGTCAGGAGTTCAAGACCAGCCTGGCCAATATGGTGAAACCCCATCTCTATTAAAAATACAAAAATTAGCCAGGTGTGGTCGCATGCACCTGTAGACCCAGTTACTTGGGAGGCTGAGGCAGAAGAATTGCTTGAACCCAGGAGACAGAGGTTGTAGTGAGCCAAGATTGCGCCACTGCACCTGCACTACAGCCTGGGTGACAGAGTGAGACTTTGTTTCAAAAAAATTTTTTTAAATTTTAAATTTACTGGTGGCCACATTAAAAAAAATTGAAAAGAAGCAGGCCAGGCGCTGTGGCTGACACCTGTAATCCCAGCTCTTAGGGAGGCAGAGGTGGGAGGATAGCTTGAGCCCAGGAGTTCGAGACCTGCCTGGGCAATATAGTGAGACCCCATTCTCCACAAAAAGGAAAAAAACAAAAAGGCCAAAAAAAAAAAAGAATAAAAAGAAACAAGTGAAACTAATTTTAATAATATTTATTTAATCCAGTATATTAAAAAGTGATTATTTCAACCTGTAGTCAATATAAAAAACTGAGATAGTTTACCTTCTTTTGTTGTATTAAGTCTTCACAATCTGGTGTATATTTTATGCTTGTAGCTGACCTCACTTTCTACCAACTGCTTTTCAAGTGCTCTCCAGCTGTGTGTAGCTAATGACTATGTATCCGGCAGCACAGCTCTAAAATATAATGGAGTTCTTAATACATAATTACTCATTTTTGTCCACTTAGGTAGGTTTTGCAAAAAGGCTTTTCTTGATTTTAACTATTTAACTATAATTAAGTCTGCAAAATTCATTAGAGAGTAGTGTTCCCTTTTAAAAATACCTTAGTTCTAATTTAAGAGTGACTGGCTGGCAGCTTAGCTACATCTTGAGTATGGGCCAGCTAAGGTGCTACTTAGGGTTCCTCTCTTGACTTCAGGCTATTCATTTACCTGTCCCCAGTTGCTCATTCACCTCAGACTGTTCTTAGACTACCTTTTATTGGCATGATTGTTACTTCTTTCACAGCCGATGTTGTTAATTGATACGTGATATTGTTGAGATGTGGCTCTAAAGTATCATATGCTTGTAACACTGTTGATTGGCAGACAGGTAGATCTCTGAGGCACTTCAAGAGGTTACTTTGTTGACTTCATTTACATTCATCTGCTAGGGAAGGGCTATAATTACTAAGGGGTGTGTGTGTGTGTGTGTGTGTGTGTGTGTGTGTGTGTGTATGTGCGTTTAAGAGACAGGGGCCAGGCGTGGGGGCCCATGCCTGTAATCCTAGCACTTTGGGAGGCTGAGGCAGGTGGATCATGAAGTCAGGAGTTCGAGACCAGCCTGGCCAACATTGTGAAACACTATCTCTACTAAAAATATAAAAATTAGCCAGGCATGGTGGCGAGCATCTGCAGTCCCAGGTACTCCAGAGACTAAGGCAGAAGAATTGCTCGAACTAGGGAGGCAGATGCTGTAGTGAGCTAAGTTCGCACCACTGCATTCCAGCCTGGATGACAAAGCGAGACTCCATCTCAAAAAAAAAAAGAGACAGGGTCTAACTTTGTCACTCAGGCTGGAGTGCAGTGGTGCAATCATAACTCACTATAACCTCGAACTAATGGGCTCAAGTTATCCTCCCATCTCAGCCTCCTGAGCAGCTGGGACTATAGGCATGCACCACTATGCCCAACTCATTTTCAGTTATTTTGTAGACATAGGGTCTTGCTATGTTTCCCAGGGCTAGATCACTTTAATAAAGTTTGAGATCTGATTAGTGGTCTATTAATGAATTACAAGGCATATATATATATATATATATATTTTTTTTTTTCTTTAATTGTGGTGGAGTTTTGCTCTTGTTGCCCAGGCTGGAGTGCAGTGTTGGCAATCTCAGCTCACTGCAACCTCTGCCTCCTGGGTTCAGGTGATTCTCCTGCCTCAGCCTCCCAAGTAGCTGAAATTACCAGCTTATTTTGGTATGTGCCACCACATCCAGCTAATTTTGTATTTTTAGTAGAAATGGGGTTTCTCCATGTTGGTCAGGGTGGTTTCAAACCTTAGGTGATCCACCTGCCTCAACATCCCAAAGTGCTGGGATTATAGGCATGAGCCACCATACCTACCATGCATGCTAAATATATTATGTGTATATGTGTTTGTGTGTATAATTATATGTTAAGGTGAACTTAAAGGATAGGCTAGAAATGTATTGGTAACAAATCAAATACCTTAACACAAGGTTTATAACTCACTTGCGGTACATAAACTCTCCAAGTCCATAGAGGATTCTGCTTCATGGTCACCCTAGAATCCAAACTGATGGAGAGTTCCTTCTCGTAAAGCTGTACTCTGTAGAACTTGAAGGCTCCTCATTTGTCATAGCAGGAAAAGGCAGCATAGAAAATCAGGCACTGGCTCTCAGGCGCTTCAGCATGCATTGACCAGAACTAAGCACATGGCTCCAGCTAACTCTAGGGATGGGCAGGGGAAATGTAGTTGTCTGTCTGGTAAGTTAAGAACCAGATGTTAGTGGATATCAGTGATGTCTACCACAGTCCTGATTCTGCCACTTACTAGCCCTGTGATCTTGGAAAGCTACTCTCTGAGCCCTAGTTTACTCATCTGCAAGTTGTAGACAATAATATTCTCACCTAAATGAATTGTGATTATCAAATGAGTTACTGTTTCACGGGAGCACTTTGGAAATGTAAAGTGTGATGGAAATTTTAACTGTTCTTTAACTGTTTTTTTGAAGTTAAAGCGCTGCTTGTTTTTCCACAGGTCTACTGAATGATGGAACTGTGGGTATTTTTAGGGGCAACCAGATGCGCTTAAAGCGAGCCTGCATTCGCAAAGCAAAGATCTCTGCTGTTGCTTTCCGGAAAGCCTTCTGTCACCACAAGTTAGTGGAACTTGATGCCACAGGTGTGAATGCTGATATTACGATTACAGACATTATCAGTGGGCTTGGCAGTAACAAATGGATCCAGCAAAATCTCCAGTGCCTGGTGCTGAATTCATTAACTCTCTCTCTTGAGGATCCTTACGAGCGGTGCTTCAGCCGGCTTTCTGGCCTTCGAGCTTTAAGCATCACCAATGTTCTCTTTTACAATGAAGACCTGGCTGAAGTTGCCTCGTTGCCAAGATTAGAGAGCTTAGATATTTCTAACACCTCGATCACAGACATCACTGCTCTACTGGCCTGCAAAGACCGACTCAAGTCTCTAACCATGCACCACTTGAAATGTTTAAAAATGACAACTACCCAGATACTGGATGTGGTTCGGGAACTCAAACATCTGAATCATCTTGATATCTCAGATGATAAACAGTTTACATCAGACATAGCTCTTCGCTTACTAGAACAGAAAGACATCCTACCCAACCTTGTTTCCCTGGATATTTCTGGGAGAAAGCACGTGACAGATAAAGCTGTTGAAGCCTTTATACAACAACGGCCAAGCATGCAGTTTGTAGGTTTGCTGGCTACTGATGCTGGTTACTCTGAATTCCTCACAGGAGAAGGACATTTGAAGGTTAGACTTTTAAAATGTATTATTTTGTCAGGCTGAACAATATCTTAGTTGCGTAAGATTCTATTAAAGATGAATGTCTATGATATATAGAACATTTTCATGAAACAGGGCCTCGTATAGTTGAAAGGCTTAGAGTCCTAATTAAAATCTCAGCTTCATGACCCAGAACAAGCTATGATGTAACTTTGCGTTTTTATTTCCTTATTTGTAAAAGAGATATTATTCTTACCTTGTGGAATTCTGAAGATCAATAATAATCTATGTAAATTACAAGTCACATAGTAAGTCCTGGATAAACAATAGGTCGTCTTATGATGATAATGTTTAGATATTTTGAACCATTTACACATAGTGTTTCTAATGGATAACTTCAGAGAAACTAGGGATGCCCCTTGTTGAATTGAGTACCTAGTGGGAGATCGAGTTCTCTAAGGAGATCTCTACTGTAGAAATGGTAGAATTTTGCTTTTCCTAAGGTTTCTCATGCCTAATAGTTTAAAATTTAGTTTAACAAACATCAGTTGAATTTGGTAGAGCTTGGGATTAAAAAATGAAAATGAGGCCGGGTGTGGTGGCTCAAGCCTGTAATCCCAGCACTTTGGGAAGTGGAGGTGGCAGATGACTTGAGGTCAGGAGTTTGAGACCAGCTTGGCCAACATGGTGAAACCCTGCCTTTACTAAAAGTACAAAAATTAGCCAGGCATGGTGGCATGCGCTTGTAGTCCCAGCTACTCGGAAGGCTGAGGCAGGAGAATCACTTGAACCTAGGAGGTGGAGGTTGCAGAGAGCCAAGATTGTGCCACTGCTCTCAAGCCTGGGTGACAGAGCGAGACTCCATCTCAAAAAAAAAAAAAAAGAAGAAGAAAATATATGCCTCCAAGGAGCTTAACCTAACGGAAACAGTGACTATATGATTACACATATATTTTTATATTTATTTATAACTATTTACTTGCATACTTTTATACGTATATGCTTTAAATCATATGTGGGTTTTTTGGTTTTTTTTGGAGATGGAGTCTCGCTCTGTCACCCAAACTGGAGTACAGTGGTGTGATTTTGGCTTAAAGGCCTATAAAGGCATGAGCCACTGCCCCTGGCTTAATTTTTTTTTGTTTTGTTTTGGTTTTGTTTTTGTTTTTTTGAGACGGAGTTTCGCTCTTGTTACCCAGGCTGGAGTGCAATGGCACGATCTCGGCTCACCGCAACCTCCGCTTCTTGGATTCAAGCAATTCTCCTGCCTCAGCCTCCTGAGTAGCTGGGATTACAGGCACGTGCCACCATGCCCAGCTAATTTTTTGTATTTTTAGTAGAGACGGGGTTTCACCATGTTGACCAGGATGGTCTTGATCTCTCGACCTCGTGATTAATTTTTTTTTTTTAATGTTTTTGTAAAGATGGGGTCTTGCGATTCTCCCACCTTGGCCTCCTAGAATGTTAGGATTATAGGTGAAGACCCTGTGCCTAGCCTGGCTTTCTTACCATAATATTTCCAGCTTTGTCATCAGTTTCCCCACTAGATTTTTCTCTTCTCACTATTTCCCTACTCAGTTTTCTCTTCTGTCACCATCAGTTTCCTGAACCTTCAATTTTTCCACAGCTAGAATTCTTATATTTGTTGGCCACCTTATCCCATACTTGGATAATCTACCAAGCTGTGGCTCCCAACTCCTGAGAACACTGAAAATCTGCTAAGCCCAGTGTTAGTTCTTAGTCTTCATTTTATTTGACCCAAAGTAAAATGGTATTTGACATAGGTGATCTTGCCTTCCTCCTTGAGATACTTTTTTTTTTAACTTAGCTTCCAGGATATCATACTTATCTTGTTTTTTTTCCTACTTGTCCTGATAATGGGCCTCAATTTCCTTTGTTGGTTCTTCCTCATCTTCCAGGATTCTGTTAGAGTGCTGTATACCTTATTCCTTAAATCTATATGCTGATGACTCCTAAGTTTGTGTCTTAACTTAGATCTCTCCCTTGAACTCAGACTCCTATATCAAACTGCAGTAATGAACATGTAGTGAAGGTACAAAAATGTTTTTTGGCCAGGGATAGCGGCTCATGCCTTTAATCCCAGAACTTTGGGAGGCTAAGGCAGGAGGATTTCTTGAGCTCAGGAGTTGGAGGCTTGAGACCAGCCTGAGCAACATAATGAGACCCCATCTGACACCTGTAATCCCAGCAAATTGGGACGCCAAGGTAGGCGGATTACTTGAGGTCAGGAGTTTGAGACCAGGCTGGCCAAGATGGTGAGAAACCGTCTCTACTAAAAATACAAAAAATAGCCAGGCATAGTGGCAGGCGCCTATAATCCCATCTCTTTGGGAGGCTGAGGCAGGGGAATTGCTTGAATCCAGGAGGCGGAGTTTGCAGTGAGCCGGTGTTATGCCACTGCACTCCAGCCTGGGCGACAGAGCAGGTCTGTGTCTCAAAAACAAAAAACAAAACAACAAAAAGATAATTACGTTAGTATCCCTGCTTTTGAGGAACTGTAGTGGAGAAAATACAGACTAATTTAAAAATAGCTTTAGTCGGCCAGATGCAGTGGCTCACCCGTGTAATCCCAGCACTTTAGGAGAAAAAAGAAGATACTTATAATTTGAGCAGCCAGAATGAGGTTTGTTACTAGCTAGAGAAGTGTTGTTCACTGAATGAACCATATAGACAATAAAATTATCTTAGAGTACACCTATAATCCTAGCACTTTGGGTAGTGAAGGTTGGGGGGATCAGTTGAGGTCAGGAGTTTGAGACCAGCCTGGCCAACATGGTGAAACCCTGCCTCTACTAAAAATATAAAAAGAATTAGCTAGGCATGGTGGCAGGTGCCTGTGGTCCCAGCTACTCAGTAGGCTAAGGCAGAAGAATCACTTGAACCCAGGAGGTGGAGGTTGTAGTGAGCCGAGATTATGCCACTACACTCCAGCCTAGGCAATAGAGACTCTGTCTCAAAAAAAAAAAAATTGTCTTAGAGTATATAACATTCCAGTAACAAAAGTTCTTTAATTTTATATTCAAGGTAACTTGAGGATATATTTCTTTTTTTTTTTTTTTCTGAGATGGAGTTTCACTCTTGTTACCCAGGCTCCAGTGCAATGGCACGATCTCGGCTGACCGCAACCTCCGCCTCCTGAGTTCAGGCAATTCTCTTGCGTCAGCCTCCTGAGTAGCTGGGATTACAGGCACGCGCCACCATGCCCATCTAATTTTTTGTATTTTTAGTAGAGACGGGGTTTCACCATGTTGACCAGGATGGTCTCGATCTCTCAACCTCGTGATTCACCTGCCTTGGCCTCCCCAAGTGCTGGGATTACAGGCTTGAGCCACCGCGCCTGGCCGATATATTTCATATAAGAGATTTATGAAGTTGTTGGAACCAACCAGATATGGGTAAATGAAGGATAAAGGCTGATTTATTTTGTTTCCCTCTTACAGTTTTTTAAATTTCAAATTTCAGTGTTTTTTCTGAATTTATAAGAAAAAGTTCTGGGTGATTCAATGAGCTGAACACTTTGAAAAATTTTATTATTAAATACCCATTTGTACATGTGAGTATGTAGTTAAAACCAGTTTGTATACATATGTTCTACATAAATATTAAGTTTAAAAAGCATTTAAAGAAGTAAAACAATGCAGGCTGGGCACAGTGGCTCACACCTGTAATCCCAACACTTTAGGATTCCGAAGCAGGCGGATCACTTGAGGTTAGGAGTTCTAGACCAGCCTGGCCAACGTGGTGAAACCCCATCTCTACTAAAAATATAAAGATTAGCCAGGCGTGGTGGCGTGTGCCTGTAATCCCAGTTACTCGGGAGGCTATGGCACAAGAATTGCTTGAATCCGGGAACTAGAGGTTGCAGTGAGCCAAGTTGGTGCCACTGTACTCTGGTCAGGGTGACAGAGCGAGACCGTGTCTCAACGAAAATTTAAAAAAGTAAAGTTGTCAGCCGGGCGTGATGGCTCAAGCCTGTAATCTCAGCACTTTGGGAGGCTGAGGCAGGTGGATCACGAGGTCAAGAGATCAAGACCATCCTGGTCAACATGGTGAAACCCCGTCTCTACTAAAAATACAAAAAAGTAGCTGGGCATGGTGGCGCGTGCCTGTAATCCCAGCTACTCAGGAGGCTGAGGCAGGAGAATTGCCTGAACCCAGGAGGCGGAGGTTGCGGTGAGCCGAGATCGCGCCATTGCACTCCAGCCTGGGTAACAAGAGCGAAACTCTGTCTCAAAAAAAAAAAAAAAAAAAAAAAAAAGTAAAGTAGTGGACGTAAAGAAACTTTATTATTATTTCAACAATGATGTGACATGTATCAATACTGTAGTCTAATTCATTTCAGACTCTTGTAGCCTATCATATTAATGGTTGAAATGTCAGCCATGATACATCCCTTCATTTCCTCAAAGCTGCATATTCCAGTCTGAATATTATATGCTTTTTTGTTTTTTTGAGAAAGAGTCTCTCTCACTCTGTTACCGATCATGGAGTGTCGTGGCACAACCATGGCTTACTGCGGCCTCAAATTCCTGGGCTCAAGCAGTCCGCTTCAGTCTGCCAAGTAGCTGGGACTACAGGCATGCACCATCACACACGGCTAATTTTTCTTTTATAGAGACAGGGTCTTACTTGTTGCCCAGGCTGGTTTTGAACTCCTGGGCTCAAGCAATCCTCCTGCCTCTAACTCCCAAAGTGCTGGGATTACAGGCATGAGCCATCATGTCTGGCTGAATATTATATGTTAATATAAAAATTACTGAGTAAGGCCAGGCGTGGTGGCTCACGCCTGTAATCCAAGCACTTTGGAGGCCAAGGCGGCGCATCACCTGAGGTCAGGAGTTCAAGACCAGCCTGACCAACACGGTGAAACCCCATCTTTAAAAAAAAAAAAAAAAAAGCCGGGAGCGGTGGCTCAAGCCTGTAATCCCAGCACTCTGGGAGGCCGAGGCAGGTGGATCATGAGGTCAAGAGATCGAGACCATCCTGGTCAACATGGTGAAAATCCATCTCTACTAAAAAATGTAAAAAACTAGCTGGGCCTGGTGGCGTGTGCCTGTAATCCCAGCTACTCAGGAGGCTGAGGCAGGAGAATTGCCTGAACCCAGGAGGCGGAGGCTGCGGTGAGCCGAGATCGCGCCATTGCACTCCAGCCTGGGTAACAAGAGTGAAACTCCGTCTCAAAAAAAAAAAAAATTACTGAGTAATATATATATATATATATATATATATATTTTTTTTTTTTTTTTTTTGAGACGGAGTTTCGCTCTTGTTACCCAGGCTGGAGTGCAATGGCGCGATCTCGGCTCACCGCAACCTCCGCCTCCTGGGTTCAGGCAATTCTCCTGCCTCAGCCTCCTGAGTAGCTGGGATTACAGGCACGCGCCACCACGCCCAGCTAGTTTTTTGTATTTTTTAGTAGAGACGGGGTTTCACCATGTTGACCAGGATGGTCTCGATCTCTCAACCTCGTGATCCACCCGCCTCGGCCTCCCAAAGTGCTGGGATTACAGGCTTGAGCCACCGTGCCCGGCCCTGAGTAATATATTTTTAAAGTATTTGATTACTTTTGTGTCCCACTGTATAATGTTACTGCCAAAAAAGCCTAAATCTTCCCCTTATTATTAGATAATCTCTCAAAATGACACTTTTTGGCATTTAAAAAATCTTTATTGTAAAATAAAATAGATACAAAGACGATAAATAATTATGTAGCTTAATGAGTTGAAAATAAAATGAACATATTAGAGACCATCACTCAGATTAAGTAACAGAACTTTGTCAGCTACTCCAAAGTTCTTCCATGTGCCCCATGCTGGACATGACTCCCTCCTTCTCCACAAAAGCAACCTCTGTTCTGACCTTAATAGTAATCATGTACTTTCATTTCTTTCTTTCTTTCTTTCTTTCTTTCTTTTTCTTTTTTTTTTTTTGTATTTTCAGTAGAGACAGGGTGTCACCATGTTGGTCAGGTGACCTCAAATGATCCACCTGCCTCAGCCTCTCAAAGTGGTGGGATTACAGGCTTGAGCCACTATACCTGGCCATGTCCTTTCATTTCTTTATAATTTTATGACCCAACTATTTAGGCACTTGGTTAATCTTGCCCGTTTAAAATTATTTGATGTCTTTTTAGTGTCTTTTAGTTTATAGATTCCTTATCCTCCATCCCTTTCTTTTCCTTATAATTTGTTCATTGAAGAATTTAGCCTTTTGATTTGCAGTTTCCCTCAGTCTAGATTTTATTGTATTTTTTGTTGTTTTGTAGAGACAGAGTCTCACTGTGTTGCCTAGGCCAGTTTGGAACTCCTGGGCTTAAGTGATCCTCCAGCCTCGACCTCCCAAACTGCTGGGATTACAGATATAAGCCACTCTACCATCCTGGATTTTGCTGATTGTATACTAATGGTGCATCTGCAAATTGGTAGCTGGATTTGGAGGCTAAATTAGACTCATGTTTGATCCCTTTGGCCAGACTCTTAGGTGTTGTATTCGTTCATTGGGAGGTACATTAATATCTAGTTGTTTCTCTATGATGTTAGCAGGTATTGACACTTAGTAGCTAGATCTATTAATTCATTGAGGATTATGGTGATATTTTCATTTATTTTTCACTTATTAGTTGGATTGCTTTTATAAAGAGCCACCTTCTGTTACCTATTTTTGGTTGCCAGTGGTACATGAATCGCATTTTAAGATACATATATTAACCTGTGTAACTGGGAAATCCCTGGAAAGACTTAATTTTGAACAGAACCTCTTGGTGCTGAAAAGGAGCATGATAAGTCTGGGGAAATTAATTGATACATTTATTTGATGAATACTTAATGGAATACGTATTCTGAGCCAAGCATAATGCCAGTTATTGGGGTACAGTGGTGAATGGATCAATTTAGTGGAGGGATTATGATAACGACTATGAAAGAGATGTTTCAGGTGATCTAATTTAAATCAGTGGCTCAAGGAAGACTTCTCTAAGAAAGTGTCCTTAACTTGAATAAGGAAGAATGAGTAGAAATTAGTCAGGCAAAGAGAAAAAGTAAGTTTTCAGAGAGGACATTGTATGAGTGGTCTTTTGCTGAGAAGAAGCTTGACTTAAGGAAAGATGAGGAAAAAAAAGGTTACATAGCTTTAACATTGTCAGCCAGGGGTTGAGGATTAAGAGGCAGATAGGATCCTAATCAAGTTGTAGGGCCTTATAAATAGTGTTAAATATCTTGAGATTTATTTTAGGTATAATACCAAAAATTTCACCCATGGTCTTATGCTAGGTTCCGAGCCTAATAAACATCTCTTCAACACCAATAAACCTTTTTAAGATGAATAATCTGGATAGATTGGAAAGTATAATCATTTTTATTTGATTCAACTTTTGTGTAACTATCCTAGATGCCATGTATACAAATAATATTTATTTATTTATTTATTTAGAGATGGAATCTCGCTGTGTCACCCAGGCTAAAGTGCAGTGGCTCAATCTCAGCTCACTGCAACCTCCACCTCCTGGGTTCAAACGACTCTAGTGCCTCAGCCTTCTGAGTAGCTGGGATTACAGGCGCATGCCACACCACGCTTGGCTAATTTTTGTGTTTTTAGTAGACACAGGGTTTCACTGTGTTGGCCAGGGTAGTCTTGAACTCCTGACCTCACATGATCTACCCTCCTTGGTCTGCCAAAGTGCTGGGATTACAGGTGTGAGTCACCACGCCCAGCCACATCAAGTTTCTCTAACTAGATAAAGTTAGAGAATTCTAAAAGCTAATCTTCTGGTTATGTTCACAGGTGTCTGGAGAAGCCAATGAAACTCAGATTGCCGAAGCACTGAAGCGGTACAGTGAACGGGCTTTCTTTGTTCGGGAAGCTCTATTTCATCTGTTTAGTCTGACTCACGTGATGGAAAAAACAAAACCAGAAATTTTAAAGGTAGGAATAAGAAACTGGATATGACATTTTTGAAATGATCTCCTTGTGCAGATAATTTTTTGAAGAAAATTGGTGAAACTTTGCATATAGTCTTTTTTTATTTATAATGTGATTGATGTGTGAATTAGCCATAAATGAGAGACAAGATCGTTGTACAATGTTATCGAAGTTTTATAGTAGTCTCATTAAGCAATATAAATGTCTTGTAGTACATACTTATCTCCCGAAAACCAGTGACCACTGTGATATTTTATCACCAGCTACTGTAGAAAATGAAAGTACAGACTGGGTGCGGTGGCTCACGCCTATAATCCCAGCACTTTGGGAGGCTAAGGTGGGCAGATCACGAGGTCAAGAGATTCAGACCATCCTGGCCAGCATCGTGAAACCCCATCTCTACAAAAATACAAAAATTAGCTGGACGTCTTGAACCCAGGAGGTGGAGGTTGTGGTGAGCTGAGATTACACCATTGCACTCCAGCCTGGGTAACAACAGTGAAACTCCGTCTCAAAAAAAAGCAAAAAATTGAAGTCCTCACTTCGGCAGCACGTATACTAAAATTGGAACGATACAGAGAAGACTAGCATGGCCCCTGCGCAAGGATGACAAGCAAATTTGTGAAGCATTCCATATTAAAAAAAAAAAAATGGCTGGGCGCGGTGGCTCAAGCCTGTAATCCCAGCACTTTGGGAGGCCGAGGCGGGTGGATCACGAGGTCAAGAGATCGAGACCATCCCGGTCAACATGGTGAAACCCCGTCTCTACTAAAAAAATACAAAAAATTAGCTGGGCATGGTGGCGCGTGCTTATAATCCCAGCTACTCAGGAGGCTGAGGCAGGAGAATTGCCTGAACCCAGGAGGCGGAGGTTGCGGTGAGCCGAGATCACGCCATTGCACTCCAGCCTGGGTAACAAGAGCGAAACTCCGTCTCAAGAAAAATAAAAATAAATAAATAAATAAATAATTAGCTGGACGTGGTGGCACGTGCCTGTAGTCCCAGCTATTTGGAGGCTGAGGCAGGAGAATCGCTTGAACCTGGGAGGCAGAGGTTGCAGTGAGCCAAGATTGTGCCACTGCACTCCAGCCTGGGCAACAGAGTGAGACTCTGTCTCAAAAAAAAAAAAACAGAAAGAAAGAAAAGAAAATGCCTCAGCTAGCCCATGCCTTATAAAAAAAATAAATTACAAAGCCGGGCGCGGTGGCTCAAGCCTGTAATCCCAGCACTTTGGGAGGCCGAGGTGGGTGGATCACGAGGTCGAGAGATCGAGACCATCCTGGTCAACATGGTGAAACCCCGTCTCTACTAAAAGTGCAAAAAATTAGCTGGGCATGGTGGCACGTGCCTGTAATCCCAGCTACTCAGGAGGCTGAGGCAGGAGAATTGCCTGAGCCCAGGAGGCGGAGGTTGCGGTGAGCCGAGATCGCGCCATTGCACTCCAGCCTGGGTCACAAGGGCGAAACTCCGTCTCAAAAAATAAATAAATAAATAAAATAAATAAATAAATTACAAAAATAAAAAATAGGCCGGTCGTGGTAGCTCACGCCTGTCATCCTAGAACTTTGGGAGGCTGAGGCGGGTGGATCACGAGGTCAAGAGATCGAGACCATCCATGGTCAACATGGTGAAACTCCGTGTTTCACTCTACTAAAAATACACAAAAAATTAGCTGGGCATGGTGGCATGTGCCTGTAATCCCAGCTACTCAGGAGGCTGAGGCAGGAGAATTGCCTGAACCCAGGAGGCGGAGGTTGCGGTGAGCCAAGATCACGCCATTGCACTCCAGCCTGGGTAACAAGAGCAAACTCCGTCTCAAAAAAAAAAAACAAAACAAAACAAATGAAAATGAAAGTATGTGACTGGAATCAGGACACTGTATTGTATATATTAATCCTATATTGCTTCCCAAATAGATTTTTTAGAAATACAATATTGAGCCATGTGTGGTAGCTCATGCCTGTAATCCCAGCACTTCAGGAGGCTGAGACAGGTGGGTAGCTTGAGCCCAGGAGCTCGAGACCACCCTGAGCAACAAGGCAAAACTTCATTTCTACGAAAAGTATTAAAAAATACAAAAAAAGAGCCAGTCGTGGTAGCTCACACCCATGATACCAGCACTTTGGGAGGCCGATGTGGGCGGATCACGAGGTCAGGAGTTCCGAGACCAGCCTGGCCAACATGGTGAAACCCCATCTCTACTAAAGGAAAAACAAATTAGCAGGGCGTGGTGGCACATGCCTGTTATCCCAGCTACTCAGGAGGTTAAGGCAGGAGAATTGCTGGAACCTGAGAAGTGGAGGTTTCAGTGAGCCAAGTTAGTGCCGTTGCACTCTAGCCTGGGCAACAGGGTGAGACTCTGACTCAAAAAAAAAAAAAAAAACCCGCAAAAAAAGAAAGAGAGAAATAAAGACAAAGAAAATATCAGAATTCCATAAGGTACTTTTCCATGCTACTTAGAACCTACTATGTATTCATAACTGATCTACATTACTCCCCAAGTAAGTATTTTTTTTAAGACACAGGGTCTTACTGTGTTGCCCAGGCTAGCGTGCAATGGCTATTGACGGGCCTCAAACTCCTGGGCTAAAGCAATCCTCCTGTCTCAGCCTCCCAAGTAGCTAGGACTACAGGTGTACATGACAACACCCAGCTATTTTAACCAAGCCAGTTTTTGAAGGGCAAGAAAGATTTTTTCATTTTATTGAATGCTTAGGGCAACGTTTATCAAAATGTGGTCCTTTGGGCCAGGACACTGTTTATCAAAATGTGGTAACTTTGGGATTCTGAGGCAGGCGGGTCACTTTGGGGCCAGGAGTTCTAGACCTTCCTGGCCAATATGGTGAAACCCCGTCTCGACCAAAAATACAAAAATGTAGCAAAGTGTCGTGCATGCCTGTAATCCCAGGTACCCGGGAAACTGAGGCACAAGGAACCTGGGAGGCTGAAGTTACAGTGAGCTGAGATCATGCCATTGCACTGGAGTCAGGCTGGACCTGAGTGACAGAGCAAGGCTCCCTCAAAAAAAAAAAAAAGTTCCTTTAAACACTAGAAGTCTAGGATATTGCTTATTTAAAAAGCATATTTGTGGCCAAGTGCAGTGGCTCATGCCTGTAATCCCAGTACTTTGGGAGGCCAAGGTGGGAGACTCACAAGGCCAGGAGATGGAGACCATTCTGGCCAACATGATGAAACCCTTTCTCTAACGAAAATACAAAAATTAGCCGGGAATGGTGGTGTTTGCCTGTAGTCTCAACTATTTGGGAGGCTGAGGCAGGAGAATTGTTTGAATCCAGGAGGCGGAGGTTGCAGTGAGTCAAGATCACGCTACTGTACTCCCATCTGGTGACAGAGTGAGACTCCATCTCAAAAAAAAAAAAAAAAAAAAAAAAAAAAAAAATGCATAGGCATGGTGGCTCACACCTGTAATCCCAGCACTTTAGGAAGCCAAGGCAGGCAGATCACTTGAGCTCAGGAATTTAAGACCAGCCTGGGCAACATCGCAAAACCTCATCTCTACAAAAAATACAAAAAATTAGCCAGGTGGTGGCATGCACCTGTAGTCCCATCTACACGGGACACTGAAGCTAGAGAATTCCTCGAGCCTAGGAGGCAGAGATTGCAGCGAGCTGAGATCATGCCACCACACTCCAACCTCGGTAATGGAGTGAAACCTTGTCTAAAAAACAAAAAGGACGTTTGTGAACTCCATCCCAAGAAATTTAGATTCAGTATGGCTAGATGAGGCACAGGAATCTGTGTTTTAATAAGCACCTAAGATAATTCCAATGTAATTCTTACGCACAGTCAATTTTGAAAACCAGTGAGCATAGGACTATATTATACTTGGCACCTTGTTTAGTGGGCGCAATTCCAAGAGATAGGTTTTATCTTCTGTTTTACAGATTATGAAATTGAGGTTTTGTGACATTAAGTAGTAATAAGTCAGTGGCAGAGCTAGAATTTGACCTCCTAGATACCTTAATTTCTGAGAATAAGGTGCTTGGGTAGGAACCAGTAACATTTTAGTCCTTAGGATATTATCACTAACACCTGTCACTCCTTCCACCAGAGATTGGCACTTGGTATATGAATTGTCTTTTTTGGGGGGTTTTGATTACTGTCAACCAAGCAACAAAGGACTACTAGATCTCTAGTCTTTTTTTTTTTTTTTTTTTTTTGAGACGGAGTTTTGCTCTTGTTACCCAGGCTGGAGTGCAATGGCGCGATCTCGGCTCACCGCAACCTCCGCCTCCTGGGCTCAGGCAATTCTCCTGCCTCAGCTTCCTAAGTAGCTGGGATTACAGGCACGCGCCACCACGCCCAGCTAGTTTTTTTGTATTTTTAGTAGAGACGGGGTTTCACCATGTTGACCAGGATGGTCTTGATCTCTCGACCTCGTGATCCACCCGCCTCGGCCTCCCAAAGTGCTGGGATTACAGGCTTGAGCCACCGCGCCCGGCCGATCTCTAGTCTTGATTTGAAATATTAATTCAGACTTTGAGAGAATGATTCAGAGATAAATGAAAGAATATAGGCTATTTATTTATTTATCGAAGTAGCGTCTCACTCTGTCACCCATGCTGGAGTGCAGTGACATGATCATGGCTCACTGCAGCCTTGACCTTCCTCCTGGGTTCAAGTGATCCCCCTGCCTCAGCCTTCAGAGCGGCTGGGACTGTAGGCATATAACACCATGTCTGGCTGAATTTTAAAATTTATTATTGATACTGCTTTTTGGTAGAGATGGAATCCCACTATGTTGCCCAGACTGGTTTTGAATTTCTGGGCTCAAGTGATTCTCCTGCCTTGGCCTCCCAAAGTGTTGGGATTATAAGAGTGAGCCATTTTTATTTTATTCTTTTAAAGATACAGGATCTAGCTGTATTGCCCAGGCTGGAGTGCAGTGGTGCACGATCATAGCTCAATGCAATCTCAAACTCTTGAGCTCAAGCAGTCTTCTGTCTCAGCCTCCCAAATGGGTAGGACTATAGGTGGGTGCCATCATACCTGGCTAATTAAAAAAAATTTTTTAAATAAATTTATTTAATTAAATTAGTTAATTAATTTATGAGATAGTGTCTCACTCTGTTGCCCAGGCTGGAGTGCAGTAGTATGATCATAGCTCACTGTAACCTCAAACTCCTGGGCTCAAGCAGGCCTCCTGCCTAAGCCTCCTGAGTAGCTAGGACTACAGGCCCACGCAACCACACCCAGCTAATTTTGTAGAGACAGGATCACACTACATTACACAGGCTGATTTTTAAAATTTTTTCGTAGAGGCAGGGTCTTGCTGTGTTGCTCAGGGTAGTCTCAAATTCCTGACCTCAAGTGATCCTCCTGCCTTGACCTCCCAAAGTTTCTGTAATTATAGGCGTAAGCCACTGCACCTAACCTAGGCAATTCCTTGTGTGTGTGTGTGTGTGTGTGTGTGTGTGTGTGTGTGTGTGTGAGAGAGAGAGAGAGAGACGAAGTTTCACTTTGTCACCCAGGCTGGAGTGCAATGGTGTGGTCTCTGCCTTGGCTCACTGCAACCTCCGCCTCCTGGGTTCAAGTGATTCTCCCACCTCAGCCTCCTAAGTAGCTGGGACTGCAGGTGTGTGCCACAACACCCAGCTAATTTTTGTATTTTTAGTAGAGACAGGGTTTCACTATGTAGGCCAGGCTGGTCTTGAACTCCTGACCTCGTGATCTGCACACCTTGGCCTTCCAAAGTGCTGGGATTGTAAGAATGAGCCACCCCACCCAACATCCCTCAACCCCTTTTTTTTGAGACTGAGTCTTAACTCTCTTGCACAGGCTGGAGTGCAGTGGCATTATCTCGGCTCACTGCAACCTCTACTTCCTATTCAAACAGTTCTCCTGCCTCAGCTTCCCAAGTAGCTGGGGTTATAGGCGCCTGCCACCACACCCAGCTAATTTTTTTATTTTTAGTATAGATGGGGGTGTCACCATGTTGGTCAGGCTCGTCTTGAACTCCTGACCTCAAGTGATCCACCTGCCTTGGCATCCCAAAGTCCTGGGATTACAGCCATGAGCCACCATGCCTGGCCAAGGCAATTCTTATAGAGAATTTTTTTGCAAAGGGAACCAAAGAAAAAAGATAGCCATTGTTTGAGGACATGAAATTAAAAGAGGGATGTTTTGATTTTTTAAAATTGAGATGGCCTCTCCCTTTGTTGCCAGGCTGAAGTGCAGTGTTGTGATCTCGGCTCACTGCAACCTCTGACTCTCTGGTTCAAGCGATTCTCCTGCCTCAGCCTCCCAAATAGCTGGGATTACAGGCATACATCACCAAGCCCAGCTTATTTTTGTATAGTAGAGGCAAGATTTCACCATACTGGCCAGGATGGTCTCAATCTCTTGACCTCGTGATCTGCCTGCCTTGGCCTCCCAAAGTGCTGGGATTACAGGCGTGAGCCACCACGCTCAGCCTGATTTTTTTTTAATAGGAAAAATACAGCTTGTTTGTATCCTGATATGAATGGTCCAATACAGAATAAAAAAATTGATGTAGGAGTAGGACGGGTAAACAGCTTCAGTAGACAAGAAAATAATTATCTCACATATACATAGAAGGATTCGTTTTACAAAGGACCCCCAAAAGATTCCTTATGATAGCAGGCAGGAAGGTGACATGTATATGTATGTATGCTGGTAAGTGGGATACATGTATTAGTGAGAATCTGAAGTTGTTTTCTGGTTGCTTCGGTTTTCTTTCTTTTTTTTTTTTCCTTGAAGGCAGGGTCTCACTCTGTCCCTCAGGCTGAAGTGCAGTAGTGTGACCATGGCTCACTACAGCCTCTGCCCCCCAGGGCTCAGGTGATCCTCCCACTTCAGCGTCTCAGGTAGATGGGACTATAGGCGTGCACTACTATAGCCAGCTAATTTTATTTATTAATTTTCTGAGACCAAGTTTCACTTCTTGTCTCTCAGGCTCTAGAGCAATGGCACTATCTTGACTCACTACAACCTCTGCCCCCTGGGTTCAAGCCATTCTCCTGCTTCAGTCTCCCAAGTATCTGGGATTACAGACACGTGCCACCACATCCAGCTGATTTCTGTATTTTTAGTAGAGATAGGGTTTCACCATGTTGGCCAGGCTGGTCTCAAACTCCTGACCTTGGGTGATCCACCTGCCTTGGCCTCACAAAGTGCTGGGATTACAGGCATGAGCCACTGCGCCTGGCCCCCAGCTAATTTTTCTATTGTTTTATAGAAGGGTTTCATCATGTTGCCCAGGCTGGCAGTTTTCTTAGTGTAGTTGAAAGCAAGATCTTCAACTGATGGTGAAGAATGGGAAGGATTCATTGGAGGTTTGAGAAGAGGGGGAAAGTGAGAAATAATTTCTTCTAGGCCAGGGGAAGTGAATGGATTTTTTGCACTCTAACCTCAGCAGTGTTCTCAAGGAACTGAAGATTGAGATTTCAGAGTGAAGTGTGCTCTATTCAAGTCAGTGAGAATTTATTCACTGCCTTCCATGTAACAGGCACCACAGTAGGTCTTGGGAATACAAAGATGAGTGACCCACGTTGAAAAGATTCATTAGCTTTCAGAAAACCTCTAGATACGAATAATGGGATACCTGCCTTGATGAGGTAGACTGGAACTATTTGTGAGTAACTGCTGTGTCCTAGGCTCTTTGCGCATGAGGATGAAAAAGAAACTTAATGATTTGAAATTAGTATAGATCAACGAAATAATCCTGCTCTGTGAAGAGAGCTTGTATTTATAAAGTGAATTAAGAGGACTAATTTTTTTTTTCCAGCTTGTGGTTACTGGGATGAGAAACCACCCTATGAATTTGCCAGTGCAACTGGCTGCAAGCGCCTGTGTATTTAACTTAACCAAGCAGGATCTTGCTGCTGGAATGCCTGTCCGACTCCTGGCTGATGTGACCCATTTACTGCTCAAAGCTATGGAACATTTTCCCAATCACCAGCAGGTAAGCTTATGTGAATTCCTTTTCAAATAGTCCTTCTAGTGTCTTCTATTCATCTCCTGCACTTGAGTTTAATAGTCCAAGGCTGGAAATTTAAATGCCATTGGACCAAGTATAGGACAACAGAGAAGTGGACACCTAAAGAGTACATTCCCTGCCTAAAACCACTTCAATCCATATACTGGGGGACATAGTACAAGCCAAACTCATCTTCCTCCTAGATCTTGAGTTTGTGATCATTTCAGCAGATATGCACAGAGGATCTATTCTGGGCTAGGCACTGTCAAATGCTGGGGTACAGAGATGAGTAAGACGTGTCTTTTCCCTTTCTAGCTATATGGTAGACAATGTAAACTGTCTTATACTCAGGATGAATACTAAAAATGTTGCTTAAATTTTTTTTTTAGGTCATTTGAAATTGACCATTGAGTTGGCAAGTTAGTAAAAAAATACTCAGAGGTCCAAAACCAAGTAAAAACGGCAAACCACATTGCTGAGTGGATCATTAAAGCCAGCTTCCCTCATTGAGTGCAGTTGCCAAACTAGATGAAATTTAGGCTTTGATTTTCATGGCCTCTGGAAGCCCATCAGACAGAAGACTCCTATGACTCCCTCCCAAAAAGGATACTATGAATAAATCTGCCTATGTTAGAGAAACAACAAAAGAATAAACCCAAAGAAGGAAGGAATAACAAAGATGAAAGATATACCATTATTTTAGAGAGGATCAGTAATTCCAAGAATTGGTTCTTTGAACATATTTAACAGTATTGAAAACTCATTGGCAAAATTGATCAGGGAAAAATGAGAAAGGTTGCATATAAAATAAATAAGATTAGGAAATGGGGTGGGGGAAATGGGAAGTCACTGTAATAGGTATAGGGTTTCCTTCTGCGGTGATGAAAATGTTTGGGATGATGAAATTGTGATGGTTGCACAACATATATACACAACAGTATACTAAAATCCTTCAAATTGTGTACTTTAAATGGGTGAATTGTATGGTACATGAACTGTATCTCAATCAAGTTGTTATATATTTTTAAAAACAATGTTCACAATAGGCTAGGCGTGGTGGCTCATGCCTAACCTAAGCAGTATAGTGAGACCCTGTCTCTACAAATAATAAAAAAATTTTAAAAGCAACTCAATTTAAAAAAAAAAAAAAAACCCTGGGAACTCACCAATTAGTTGGAAATGCAAATACTGTAAGCTATTATCTAATTATCGTCAGCCATTTTAACTAAGTGTTGCAGAAACTTGAGCATGATTAATTCTGCCAGCTGGATTTTTATGTGGAGAAAAGTACCAGGCAGGATTTCAAACGGGAAGTGACATTGAGTCAAATCTTGAGAAATGAATGAGATTTCACATGGAGAACAGCAGAAAATCAGTGGACCAATATGTGAATGTGCAGGCATTCCTGGAAGTGAAGTTGCATGTGACTAGAGTGTAGGAAGGGCAGGGTAGGATGAAGCCAGTGATATACAGATTAGGACCAGATTTGATGAATGCGAGCATAGGAAATTCTTGATTCCACATTGAATTTCTAAAAAAAAAAAAATTAAAACTCTTGAGTACTTGCATAGTTCAGGCTGTAGCCCCCAAAATCAAAACTCTAGCTGGGCAGAAATTGAAGACTACAGCAAAAGTCTTCCTCTTTTCTGTTTTTGCCTGTGGTGCTTTTCAGATGCAGTAAGGCTTAGATTCAACAAAATTTATCTTCTGTTATTACTTTAGCCATTAGTTAAATTAAGCTTAGCAGCCCTTTATTGAATTCAGACTATGTGCACCTATGCTAAGTTCTTTTGTTTGTTTGTTTTTGAGATGGAGTGTCACTCTGTTGCCAGGCTGGAGTGCAATGGCACGATCTCGGCTCACTGCAACCTCCACCTCCTGGATTCAGGCAATTCTCCTGCCTCAGCCTCCTGAGTAGCTGGGATTACAGGCATGCGCCACCATGCCCGGCTAATTTTTGTATTTTTAGTAGAGATGGGGTTTCACCATGTTGACCAGGATAGTCTCGATCTGTTGACCAGGATAGTCTCAATCTCTTGACCTCGTGATCCACCTGCCTCGACTTCCCAAAGTGCTGGGATTACAGGTGTGAGCCACCACGCCAGGCCCACTTGTGCTAAGTTCTAAGCATTCAGATACAGGAACATGTAACGTAGCACAGTGTGGTAAGTACTAAGAGAAACAAGTGCTATTGGGAGCCCAGGAGGAGCACTTAGGACAATTTGAAAATTAGGGGCTGTGCACGGTGGCTTGCGTTTAATCCCAGCACTTTGCGAGGCTGAAGCAGCAGGATCACTTGAGCCCAGGAGTTCAAGGCTGCCGTGAGCTATGATTGTGCTGCTGCATTCCAGCCTGGTGACAGAGCAAAACCCTGTCTCAAAAACAACAAAATCACCCCCCAAAAATTAAGACATCTTCCTCATTGAGGTAATTATCTCACCCTGAGTTGAATTGTGAAGGAAAATTAGGAATTTTCCAGGTAAAGGAATAGGATGAATGGTCTTTCTAAGCAGAGGCAATTAGAATAGCATTATTGCCTTTCTTATTTCTATGGATCCTGTACATATTATTGTGTTTATTTCGGAGGAGAAAAATGGTGATGGAAGAAAGTAGTGCCGCTAATCAATCTGCCAGATTATGATTTAAATTTTAGGGGAGTTAAATGGATCCTCAAGCAGAATCTGCCCTAGCACCTTGACCACCTGCAATGAATATAAAACTTCCTGAGAAACCCTCTTAATTAATTACTCTTGCACCTAACCCGTTCTGTATAATTCCCCTGGGATTTAGTACCACGTAGCCTTTTTTTCTGCCATGTCTTCTATTATGTAATCTTTCTACATCTTCCAGGAAGCAAATAGGGTGTTCATTTTATGTGTTTGTCTATTTCTTAACTAGCTGTATATATCCCATTAATCTGAGTTTTGCCTTCCATGATTGAATTCCCTTATATTAAGTCTTATTTAGATAAGAAATCTTCCAATTGTACACCAAAATCTTAAGAAATATTAAAGCCATTTGTCCAAATAAAAAAAAGTTATTAGACACTATGACTTTTTAAAATCCCACACTTATTTTCTTATTTTGCTTCATGGGAATAACTTGAATCACCTTTCTGTTATAATGGTGCACCTTGACTCTGTCAGTGAATTACTCATTTTTATTTACTATTGTTTAATTGTACTGGTCTAAACTTTATTGAAAAGATAGAGCCAAGTCTATCAGTCACTCTTTAGAGGCCATTGTGTAGAACACTAACCCCGCCTACTCTATGTTAAGAGTCAGACTGTCTTCCAAGCAGGCTCGCCTATATTCTTTTATGCTATGTCAACAAGTAAAACTTTGAGCCATTGATTTTTGTCATTCTCTCCATCTCAAAAAATACAGAAGGCAAGGTTACTTCATAGGCCACCAGAAAGAAGGAGATTGGTTGTAATTATCCTATTTATTACCCTATTTCTTATCTAATGGAAAAGACAAAAAAAGGTACAAGTAACCTTGCATGGATCTACTGGAAGTCAGCTTTTCAGTAGTAGGGGGCAGATAAAGGTTGTAAGAAGTAACTGGCATTTTATTGGTTTTCTTTTTTTCACATGGAAGCTATACCTTGGTTAAAAGATAACAAAGTGATATTTTATTTAGGATTTTTTTTCCCTCCCTTTGATTCTTTAGTTACAGAAGAATTGCCTCCTTTCACTTTGCAGTGACCGGATCCTTCAAGATGTTCCATTTAACAGGCAAGTAATAGCTCTAGAACTTAAAGTGGGGCAAAACAGAATGTTAGAAATCTGTCTTGGGTAATTTCTTACCATTTAGGATATCCCTTTTATAAGATTAATTGAGTAGATAGAATTGTGGGTTATTTTATAGAATGCTAAATATACTTTCTTTACTTTGATGCTTTGGCATTCATGATAGCAAATTGACCTGTGTTTTCACAGTCCTGTGCTTAGGAATTTATGTTGGTTATGGTTCAAGATATCCACATAATATTGTAGGCTATGAACATTATTATCCCCATTCAAAAGATGAAAAAATCTGAGGCATATGGAGAGATTCATTGCCTTGACTATGGCTTTGTGACTAATAACTGCAAGATTAGAAAGATGCAGGTTTGGCCAGGCACGGTGGCTCACGCTTATAACCCCAGCACTTTGGGAGGCCTAGGCAGGTGGATCATGAGGTCAGGAGTTCGAGAGCAGCCTGGCCAACATTGTGAAACCCCATCTCTACTAAAGATACAAAAAATTACCTGGGTTTGGTGGCACACACCTATAATCCCAGCTACTTGAGAGACTGAGGCAGGAGAATCACTTAAACCCAGGAGGCAAAAGTTGCAATGAGCCAAGGTCCTGGCATTGCACTCCAGCCTGGGCAACAGGGCAAGACTCTGTCTCAAAAAAAAAAAAAAAAAAAAAAAGAGGTCCAGTGTTCTTTTTTCTGTAATGTATCTCTTATTGTTATCACTGTTTGGTATTGAATTATGCTAGAAACTTTTGAAGGAGAGATTAAAGGAAGCCATACAGCTAGAGTCCATTAAATATAAAGGGGACCTTTGTTTTTTAAGATGTACTTTTGGAGCTTAAGATATTTTTTTTTTTTTTTTTTTTTGGCTGGGTGAGGTGGCCCACACCTGTAATCCCAGCACTTTGGGAAGCCGAGGTGAGTGAATCACAAGGTCAGGAGTTTGAGACCAGCCTAGCCAACATGGTGAAACCCCGACACTACTAAAAATATGAAAAATTAGCTGGGCTTAGTGGCGGGCGCCTATAATCCCAGCTACTTGGGAGACTGAGGCAGGAGAATTGCTTGAGCCCGAGAGAGGTTGCAGTGAGCCAAGATAATGCCACTGCACTCCATCCCTGGCATCAAAGCAAGACTCCATCTCAACAACAACAAAAAAAGTTGTTTTGTTTTGTTTTTTTCATTTTACTATTTTAAAATATAACTTTTCTTTTTCTTTTTTTGAGACAGGGTCTCTGTTACCCAGGCTGGAGTGCAGTGCCACAATCTCAGCTCACTGCAAACATCCTCCTCCTGGGTTATCCTACCTCAGCCACCTGAGTAGCTGGGACTACAGGCGTATGCCACCATGCTGGGCTAATTTTTTTATTTTTCAGTACAGACAAGGTTTCACTGTGTTGACCAGGATGGTCTCAAACTCCTGACCTCAAGTTATCCACCCGCCTCGGCCTCCCAATATGCTGGTATTGCAGGCGTGAGACACCATGCCCAGTATTAAAATATCATTTTTTAATGATAGCATTTTGAAAAGGAACTTTATATTTCATTATTTAATGAAAAGTATGTTTCTCAAGCAGCAATTTTTTTTTTTTTTTTTTTTTTTTTGAGATGGAGTTTCACTCTTGTTGCCCAGGCTGGAGTGGAATGGCATGATCTTGGCTCACTGCAACCTCCACCTCCCAGATTCAAGCAATACTCCTGCCTTAGCCTCCCAAATAGCTGGAATTACAGGCATGCGCCATCACGCCCAGCTAATTTTTTGTGTTTTTTTTTTTTTTTTTTTTTTTTGAGACGGAGTTTCTCTCTTGTTACCCAGGCTGGAGTGCAATGGCGCGATCTCGGCTCACCGCAACCTCCGCCTCCTGGGTTCAGGCAATTCTTCTGCCTCAGCCTCCTGAGTAGCTGGGATTACAGGCACGCGCCACCATGCCCAGCTAATTTTTTGTATTTTTAGTAGAGACGGGGTTTCACCATGTTGACCAGGTTGGTCTCGATCTCTCGACCTTGTGATCCATCCGCCTCGGCCTCCCAAAGTGCTGGGATTACAGGCTTGAGCCACCGCACCCGGCCATTTTTTGTATTTTTAGTAGAGACGGGGTTTCATTATGTTGGCCAGGCTGGTCTTGAACTCCTGACCTCAGGTGATCCACCTTGGGCTCCCAAAGTGCTGGAATTACAGGCATGAGCCACTGCTCCTGGCCTTTAAGCAGCAATTTTACTGTAATTTACTTTTATTTGAGTAATAGAGAACACTTATCTTGCATGGCTAAGGAAAGTGGTGTTCCATTTTTTATTTGAAATAAACAATTTGGATAAAAATATAACTACATATATCTCATGTAGATTGCTAATTTTATTTTAGAAATATTGAGCCTCTGTACTGATCATTGTAACAAAGTCTAAGGTAGGAAAGACCGTCACTCTCCTAAAGATTATATTCTACCCTTTAACATTTTCTTTAAGGGCTAGATTATAAATACTCTAGGCCTATGGGCCATAGAGTCTCTGTTGCAACTATTTAATTCTGCTGTTGTACCTCAAAAGCAGCCATAGCTAATATAGAAGCAAATGGGTGTGACTGTGTTCCAACGGAACTTTACAAAGCAGGCAGCCAGATCCACAGGCTATAAAGTTTGTCTCCCTCTCATCTAGCCAATGTTCTCTGCAAGAATTGATCTTCTTTGTGGTCAGAGGTTATGATTGGTTCGTCTCTTTGTCTCTACTGCTTGAGTGGATATTTAATAGATTGATGAATGGATGAATAAATGAATATTACATGAGACAATTTTTCTTTTCTTCTTTTTTTTTTTTTTTGAGACAGAGTTTTGCTCTTTCACAGAGGCTGGAGTGCAGTGGCACAATCTTGGCTCACTGCAACCTCCGCCTTCTGCTTTCAAGATACTCTCCTGCCTCAACCTCCTGAGTAGCTGGGATTATAGGTGTCCATCACCATGCCCAGCTAATTTCTGTATTTTTAGTAGAGACGGGATTTCACCATGTTGGCCAGGCCGCTCTCGAACTCCTGACCTCAGGCAATCTGCCGGTGTCTGCCTCCCAAAGTGCTGGAATCACTCCCGAAGTGGCATGAGCCACTGTGCCTGGTCGAAACAAAATTTTTCATAGAAGAGGTATTAATGAAATGCATTGGGCCCACACACAAGGAAGGAAAGATTCTATCTTACTGATGATTGTTAAGGATTTCATGTAAGTTAATGGCACTTGAGATAAAAACGGTAAAAACTAACATATATGAAGCACTTACTATTGCAAGGCAGGCATTGTGCTAAAGTGTTTTATGTGTGCTTATTCAGTCCTCAGAACAATCCTGTGAAATTGTTACTCTTATGATCTTCATTTTACAGATGAGGAAATAGAGACACAGAAAGGATTAGTAACTTGCCCAAGGTAATAAGATAGTAAGTAGCAGAGTCTAGATTTAAATTCATTCTGACTCCAGATCCGTGCTATGTTTTTTCTTCCGTGCTATGTTGCTTTGAAGATGAGAGCTGGTTGAATTGTTTTACATTGTTGGAACTGCATGAATAAAGACACAGAGAAAGTCAATTATATTAGTAAAAATTAACCTTTATAAAGAACTTATTTTGTGTACTAAGTCTTAAGCTTCTATGTAATATTTAATCCTCATAACAACCCTATAGAGTAGTTTTTATTTTATTTATTTATTTTTTATTTTTGAGACAGAGTTTTGCTCTTGTTGCCCAGGCTAGAGTGCAATAGCACGATCTCAGCTCACTGCAGCCTCTGCCTCCTGGGTTCAAGCAGTTCTCCTGCCTCAGCCTCCTGAGTAACTGCGACTACAGGTGTGCACCACTACACAAGGCTAATTTTGTATTTTCAGTAGGGCAGGGTTTCACCATGTTGACCAGGCTAGTCTTGAACTTCTAACCTCAAGTGATCTGCCCGCCTCAGCCTCTCAGATTGCTGTGATTGCAGGCTTGAGCCAGCATGCTTGGCCTGGAATAGGTTTTTGTTACTGTTTTACAGATAGGAATATTGAAGCTCAGAGAGATTCAGGAATTTGCTCAGAGTCCGAAGTTAGGCTGGACACAGTAGCTCATGCCTGTAATCCCAATACTTTGGGAGACTGAGGTGGGTGGATCATCTGAGGTCAGGAGTTTGAGAGCATCCTGGCCAACATGGTGAAATGCTGTCTCTACTAAAAATACAAAAAATTAGCCCAGTGTGATGGCGGGCTCCCAGCTACTGGGAAGGCTGAGGCAGGAGAATCACCTGACAGAGGTTGCAGGGAGCCAAGACAGTGCCACTGCACTCCAGCCTTGTCAACAAGAGCAAAACTCCGTATCAAAAAGAAAAAAAGGTTAGTAAGTGGTGGAGCTGATATTTGAATCCAGGCTGACTCCAAAGTGTATAATGTTCTTTTTTTTTTTTTTTTTTGAGACAGAGTGTCGCCCTTGTTACCCAGGCTGGAGTGCAATGGCGCGATCTCGGCTCACCGCAACCTCCGCCTCCTGGGTTCAGGCAATTCTCCTGCCTCAGCCTCCTGAGTGGCTGGGATTACAGGCACGTGCCACCATGCCCAGCTAATTTTTTATATTTTTAGTAGAGACGGGGTTTCACTATGTTGACCGGGATGGTCTCGATCTCTTGACCTCGTGATCCACCCGTCTCGGCCTTCCAAAGTGCTAGGATTACAGGCTTGAGCCACCGCGCCCGGCCCCCAAAGTGTATAATGTTCTTAACAACTTGACTACATTGCCTCACATGATAAAATAATTCATTTTATTGTTAACATTAAGTAGAACTAGAATTCAAACCCAGAATTGACTTGAGAATCTGTACACTTTACCACTAGGCTGTGTTACCTCATACTTGTGGGCAAGTGTGAAGACTAATGAACAATCCACTTTGCAGCAAGCGTAGGGTAGGCAGGAAAAAAGCTTGATATGACCCCATGCTAAAGTCCTAGAATGCTGTGAGAATGGGAGTGACATCATACCTAAGTCCTTGGACAAGTTTATTTATTTCTAATGTGCAGGCACACATTGATGGGAAACCAGTGGAAACAAAGAAGCCAATTAGGAATTTATTGTAGAAGAATACAAGTAATGGGCCTAATCAGAAATGGCCTTGGGAACAGAAAGAAGGTAATAGTCAATTTAAGGGAAGTTGCAGAACAGTAATCTATCTAAAAATAATCATTTAGTCAACATATGTTAAACACTATTTATGTTTCGATCACTGTATTAAGTGTGTGGCATAAAGGGCCAATAGGATATATAGTCCCCACCCTCAAGGAGCCACAGGCCAAATGGGGATTCAAGTGAGTCTGCAGATGACTGTGGATCTCTGACAGCTATACGTAAAGTACTAAGGAGCTAAGAAGGCAGTGATCAACTCATCAAAGAAACCTTCTCAAAGGCAGTGATATTTGATCTGAGTCTTAAGGATGAGACTATGGGTAAGATAATCATATATATTCCTTAACCTCATCTTGATTTTTTTCCTATATCCCACGTTGAGTTCTTTGGCAAATCCAGCTTTATCTTCAAAATGTATCCAGAATTCAACCATTTCTGGATTTATTCACTTCTGTTTCTACAGCTTGGAGTCAACTAAAAGGGATTTCTCTCCTGAATTACTGCAGTAGCCTCAGAACTGCTCTCCTGGTTCTGTCCTTGCCCTCCTGCTTCTGTCCGTGCCCTCCTGGAGTTTATTCTAAACACAGCTGATAGAGTAGTCCTGCTCATGTCATATTGCTCAAAAGCCTTCCATTGCTTTCCCTCTCATTCAGAGTAAAAGCTTATTCTTTACTGATAGGTTTTGGCTCTGTGTCCCCACCCAAATCTCATGTTGAATTGTAATCACCAGTGCTGGAGATGGGGCCTGGTGGAAAGTGATTGGATCATGGAGGTGTTTTCTAATGGTTTAGCACCATCCCCCAAGTGCTGTCTTGTGATAAGAGTTCTCACAAGTTCTAGTCATTCAAAAGTGTGTAGCACCTCCAGCTTTGCTCTTCCTTCCAATATAGGATGTGCCAGCCTCCACTTCACCTTCCACCATGATTGCAAGTTTCCTGAGGCCTTCCTAGCTGTGCTTCCTTACAGCCTGTGGAACCATGAGCCAATTAAACCTCTTTTCTTTATAAATTACCCAGTCTCAGCTAGTTGTTACTGCAGTAGAAGAATGGACAATACACTAGACTCTATGTGATCTGGTGCCTCTCTTACCTCTTACTTTCTGTCTCAGAACTCTATCCTTGTTCTCTCTGCTCTGGCCTCACTGGCCTCCATGCTATTTGTTGAAACTTCTGAGGCACATACCCTCTTCAGGGCTGTTATATTTTCCCTCCTCTCTGCCTGGAATGCTTGTCCCCTAAATTTCCATATGGCTATCTCTCTTAACTTCCTCAAAAGTTTCAATGAGGCCTTCCATAGCCACCCTACATAAAATTTTAACATTTCATATCCTCTTTTCCTGCTTCATTTTTTTTTCTCTATAGCATATGTCATTACCTAACCATACTATCTATTTTACTTATTTATCTGATTTATTACCTGTCTTCCTCACTAGAATGTAAGCTCTAGGAAATTAGCAAAATTTTTCTGTTTTGTTCACTACTGTATCTCTAGCACTAAGAACAATATCTGGCACAAAGCAAGAGTTTAATATATGTTTGTGAATCAATGAATGAGTGTTTCTGTTGTGCTAGGTGCTACGAGTAACCCAGAAAATATTTAAATCACAACTGAATGTAGAAAAACCTACTTTAGAAATACAGAATAGAAATATGTTATAATTCTAGAAAATAAAATGCCGGATAGTTGGAATCTTATTTTCTAAACCCTTCTTTCTTTACAAAATGTTGTCAGAATTAATAATACGGCATCATCTCTAAAATACTAAGTGTAATTGTTACTCTCTACCAGTTAAGAGGAATTTTCCCTTGCCTTTTCGCATATTTAAGTTGTATAATCAGTTCTAGCTGGAACCCTGAAAATGTGCCTGGGCCTCCACGATTAATTCATGAAACCCTTTTTGTGTTTTCAGGTTTGAAGCAGCCAAGCTTGTCATGCAATGGCTCTGCAACCATGAGGATCAAAACATGCAAAGGATGGCAGTTGCTATCATTTCTATCCTGGCTGCCAAGGTACCTGAACTCTTGCTGAATAATTTTCTGTAGGCAGCTGTTTATCATTACATTTACTGTTTCCCCCTGAAATCTGTGTGCCAGAAAGATTAGTAAATCTCTCTGCCAGCCTGCTTATTCAAGCTACATTGAATATTGCAGAATTTGGCTGGGCACGGTGACTCATGCCTGTAATCCCAGCACTTTGGGAGGCTGAGGCAGGCAGATTGCTTGAAGCCATGAGTTTGAGACCAGCCTAGGCAACATAGGTAGACCTTGTCTCCACAAAGCATAGAAAAATTAACTGGGTTTAGTGGCGAGTACCTGTAGACCCAGCTACTCAGGCAGCTGAGGTGGGAGAATTCTTGCGCCCGGGAGATGAAGGCTGCAGTGAACTGTGATCACACCATTACACTCCAGCCTGGGTGACAGAGCGAGACCCTGTCTCACAAAATAAATAAATAAATAAATAAATGGATGGATAGATAGATAGACAGATAGAGCAGAATTCCAAGTTGATCAGAGATTGATTTTAGTCCGACCTTTGGAGTCAGGTACAGTGAAGGGTATTAAACTCACATTAGTGAGTTCCTGGACATTGAATTTGTTTTTTACTTGCTTGTAGCTTTCTACAGAACAAACTGCACAGCTTGGTACTGAACTCTTCATTGTCAGGGTAAGTGTATAATCTTCTCCATGCAGGCTACTAAATATTCATGTTTATTGTTTTTAGGCGGTATTATACATTTTCTGACGCACACACACACACACACACACACTTTTTTGAGCCAAAGTCTTGCTCTGTCACCCAGACTGGAGTGCAATGGCATGATCTTGGCTTACTGCATCCTCCACCTCCAGGGTTCAAGTGATTCTCCTGCCCCAACTTCCTGAGTAGCTGGGATTACCGGCACATGCCACCATGCCCAGCTAATTTTTGCATTTTTAGTAGAGACAGGGTTTCACCATGTTGGTCAGGCAGATCTCGAACTCCTGACCTTGTGATTCACCCGCCTTGGCCTCCCAAAGTGCTGGGATTACAGGCCTGAGCCACCATACCCAGCCGACATTTTATATTTTAATAAAAACTTTCCGTGGCCAGGGACGTGGTGACTCACATCTGTAATCCCAGCACTTTGGGAGGCCAAGGCAGGAGAGGATCACTTGAAGCCAGGAGTTCAAGAACAGTCTGGGAAATATAATGGGACTCCCTCTCTTTCAAAAAAAAAAAAAAGAAAGTTGGACATTGTGGCGCATACCTGTGGTTCCAACTATCCAACTACTCAGGAGGCTGAGGTGGGAAAATCACTTGAGCCCAGGATGTCAAGGCTGCAGTGAGCCGTGATCGAGTCGCTGCACTCCAGCCTGGGTGATGAGTGAGACCCTTCCTAAAAAAAAAAAAAAAAAAAAATTTTTTTTTTTTGGTTACTTCTAAAGAAGTATATTTATTTTCATATATGCAACTTTGCTCCTTAACAGAGATGGAAAAAGCCCTGAACTAGGAGTCAAATGACCTAGGATCTAGGTTGTAAACTCACTTCGTGAATTTGAGAGAATTACTTGCACTAATAGGGTCTACATAAATATTAAGATCCTATGTAAGGCCAGGCACAGTGGTTATGCCTGTAATCCCAGCACTTTGGGAGGCCAAGGCAGGAGGATTGCTTGAGCCCAGGAGTTTGAGACCAGCCTGGGCAATATAGTGAGACCCCATCTATACAAATCACTTAAAAATTAGCCAGGCATGGTAGCAGATGTCTGTGGTCCCAGCTTCTCAGGAGGCTGAGGTGGAAGAATTGCTTGAGCCCAGGTGGTGTAGGTTAGTTAGCCATGACCATACCACTGCACTCCAGCTGGGGTGACAGAGCAAGACCCTGTCTCCAAAAAAACCCCCAAAATCTCTGTGATTTTATTATTTATATGGAAAATGTATAGACCCTATTACAGGTATAAGGTTGTGCTGTATACTTTGGGAAGCAGATAATTTAAATATCTGATATATGATTTTGCTTACTTATAATCAGTTGAGGAAATAAGACTAGTAAACCATGAAAAGTTTAAAAAGCTTTAAAGGGAGCAGATATAAACAATGTCTTAGGGAAGATTTAGAGGCAAAAAGTATATTTAAACATGCCTGTTAAAATCCTAGAATGAGGTGTTTGAATAATAATACTACATGGAAAAGTCAAATAAGAGACCCCTTTTTTCAATGACTTACAAATTATGTATGTAATGAGAAAGTAAGCCATTCATTTGATATATATGTATAGAGTACCCATGATATCAAATGAATGACGCTTGCTACCTTACTAGATGTTAGACAGGAATTCACACTGAATTATAATTATGTAATTATAATTAACACTGAATTATATCCATAAATTCTACCCATAACAAACAGTACAATAGAAAAAAAATAGCTATGTGGATATGGTTGTAACAGAATCTAAAAAGTATAATAATAGAGATATGAATGAAAAAATAATGCTATAAAGAGAGAAAAGGCTGTTGAGGAATAGTGGAAAGAGTAGAAATTCTGGAGTTGACATGTCTGGATTTATTCTCATTTTTGTCTCTTTAATGGCCATGTGGGCTGGACGTGGTGGCTCATGCCTATAATCCCAGCACTTTGGGAGGCCGAGGTGGGTGGATCACGAGGTCAAGAGATCGAGACCATCTTGGTCAACATGGTGAAACCGCGTCTCTACTAAAAATACAAAAATTAGCTGGGCGTGGTGGCACACACCTGTAGTCCCAGCTACTCGGGAGGCTGAGGCAGGAGAACTGCTTGAACCCAGGAGGCGGAGGTTTCGGTGAGCCGAGATCACGCCGTTGCACTCCAGCCTGGGTAACAAGGGCGAAACTCCATCTCAAAATAATAATAAAAAAAAAATTAAAACAATTTCCCTGTGTATTTGACATAAAAAAATAGCCATGTATTTTGGGCAAATCACAATTTTCTTAGGGGTGATAAAAACTACTCGATACAGTTATTATGAGGACTAAATGAAAAGAAAAAAAGCTCATGCTTATAATCCCAGCACTTTGGGAGGCTGAGGTGGCAGGTTCACCTACAGCCAGGATTTTGACACCAGTCTGGTCAATATAGCGAGATTCTGGCTCTACTCCAAAAAAAAAAAAAAAAAAATTACCAGGTATGGTGGACACACCTGTAGTCTCAGTTACCCAGGAGGTTGAAGCAAGAGGATCAGTTGAGCTTGGGAGTGCAAGTCTGCAGTAAACTATAATTGTGTCACTGCTTTCCAGCCTGAGTGATAGAATGAGATCTCATGTCAAAAAAAAGAAAACTGGGCCTGGCACGGTGGCTCATGCCTGTAATCCTAGGATTTGGGAGGCCAAGGCAGGCGGATCACCTGAGGTCAGGAGTTGAAGACCAGCCTGGCCATCATGTTGAAACCCCATCTTTAAAAAATAAAATAAAAATAAAGGCTGGGCGTGGTGGTTCACACCTGTAATCTGAGCACTTTGGGAGGCTGAGGCAGACGATCACCTGAGGTCAGGAGTTCGAAGACCAGCCTGGCCAACATGGTGAAACCCTGTCTTTATTTTTTTTTAAATTAATTAATTAGTTAATAAAAAATAAAAAAAAGAAAAATGTTTAATTCAGGTAGTATATGCTAAGTATCTAACACTAAATATATTAGATAAGTTAAAAAAAAGAGATACTTTTTTGTTTATTTTTACTGTTTTCAGGGGTGACAGTTTTTCAAAATGGCCTCTTTTGCTATATATGTCTCTCAGTAATTTTGGTATATTTGAAGATTTTAAAGAAAATCTACTTACATGCTTTCGGAGGAAATCAAGCTTAAAGAAGGAATTAGTAGTCATAGTGATGATGATTATTACAGCTAGATTTTTTTCCCCTGATTTTAATTGCCACTTACAATCTATAGATGAGGAAACAAAGAATTAAACTGGTAAACCAGGTTGTGCCATTAGTCAGATGCAGCGATTATATTTAAGATCAGGTAGCTTTCTTCTAATGCCACACACTTAGCTACGACACTGTTAACGTACCTAACTGTACCTGCAATGTTTTTCTTCAAATTTTTTTCCTGAATATATTACCTTTAGTAATATATTCATTAATGTTTTCCTACATCTGTTTTAGCAGAGCTTTCTTTTTTACCTCCAGAAGTATAATCTAAAAATGGAATTACGGATGCCTTATGTAGTTTTTTTTTTTTTTTTGAGACGGAGTTTCGCTCTTGTTACCCAGGCTGGAGTGCAATGGCGCAATCTCAGCTCACCGCAACCTCCGCCTCCTGGGTTCAAGCAATTACCTGCCTCAGCCTCCTGAGTAGCTGGGATTATAAGGCACACGCACCACCATGCCCAGCTAATTTTTTGTATTCTTAGTAGAGACGGGGTTTCACCATGTTGACCAGGATGGTCTCGATCTCTTGACCTCGTGATCCACCCGCCTCGGCCTCCCAAAGTGCTGGGATTACAGGCTTGAGCCACCGCGCCCGGCCCTTATGTAGTTTTAAAACCACTTTTCAAACATAAATTTTTTAGGGTAAAGCTATGATAGAACTAATTTACAACTGGAATTTCAAAGCTATTATCTTCTTATTTTTAAAAGGGAGGAAGGGAAAAAGGAAATAAAAAGAGAAGAGGTGGCCGGGTGCGGTGGCTCAAGCCTGTAATCCCAGCACTTTGGGAGGCCGAGACGGGTGGATCACGAGGTCAAGAGATCGAGACCATCTTGGTCAACATGGTGAAACCCCGTCTCTACTAAAAATACAAAAAATTAGCTGGGCATGGTGGCGCGTGCCTGTAATCCCAGCTACTCAGGAGGCTGAGGCAGGAGAATTGCCTGAACCCAGGAGGCGGAGGCTGTGGTGAACCACGCCATTGTGCTCCAGCCTGGGTAATGAGCAAAACTCTGTCTCAAAAAAAAAAAAAAAAAAAGAAAAAAGAAAAGAGAAGGGGAAACGGGGAAAAATAAGAAAAAGCAAGACAGAGGCGCTGCAGCATCTGCCCTCAGGGAAGGCTGAGGAGGGAGGGGCTATTATCTTTTTTATAGTCAATGTAGTCTTTAATTCTCTTATCATTGTATGTAGCTTTATCCTTTTTTTTTTCTTAAGGAAAACTTGGGAGTTGGATAGATTAGGTCTTTCCATTCTTACTTTCTCTGTCTAAATTGACTGTGATCAAATTAGTTAATATTTCGCAGACTCAATTTTCTCTCCTGAAAAATGGGAATAACAGTACTACAATATAGAGTATAGTTTGCTAATCCTTAATAAATGTTAACTTCATTTGCCCTTCTCTTCCTTTGCCTTTTTAATTCTAGAATCTAAAATAAGTATATGCTGTGACTAAATGGGTAAGATAGTTGACCCAAGTTTTAATCATTTTGCTTTCAAGTGTTATTTATGGATGATTACATTGTAGGTATGATCAGAATAATATACAAGTATTTATGAAAATTTTATACTTTTTTCTTGAGGAAAAGTTCAGTCCAAGGGGCTGTTATACTTAAACATCTTTACAGAAAATGCTTTAAGCCATGAGACTAATCCGACTAATCCTCATGGACTTGTGCTTATTAATAACCACAAATTGTAATAACAGTTCAAAAATGAAAACTGAATTCTGTTTTCTTTTTTCAGCAACTTCTTCAAATAGTGAAGCAGAAAACCAATCAGAATTCAGTGGACACTACGTTGAAATTTACTTTGAGTGCACTTTGGAACCTCACAGATGAATCCCCAACCACTTGTAGACACTTTATTGAAAACCAAGGGTTAGAACTCTTCATGAGGGTTCTAGAGGTTAGAATGGGAATTTAGCTTACAGTTTTGATATTTATTAATTTACTTATTTTAGCATTCATTTTATATTTGGTTCCTTGGGTAATTAAAGGTTTCTCTTTCTTTTTACAGTCTTTCCCAACTGAGTCATCCATTCAGCAGAAAGTTCTAGGACTTTTGGTAAGATATAAGCACTTCCTGCTAAGTTCCAAGCTGTGTTTATTTTCTGTCTGAAGTAACACTGAAAGTTGGAGCTCTGCAGTGGCTCAATGAGGTTTAGCCAAGGCATAATCATTGCTAATTGAGAACTGTTCCCCATACCTCGCCGTGACGACTTGAAATGTGGTTGACAACGGCAATTTCATTTTTTTTTTTTTTTTTTTGTGAGACAAGGTCTCACTTTGTTGCCTAGGCTGGAGTGCAGTGGTGTGATCACAGCTTACTGTAGCCTTGGCCTCCTGCTGGGCTCAAGCAATTCCCCCAACTCAGTCTCTCTAGTAGGTGGGACCATAGGTGTGTGCCACAATGCCCAGCTAATTTTTGTCTATTTTGTGGAGATGGGGTTTTGCCATGTTGCCCAGGCTGGTCTCAAACTCCTGAGCTCAAGCAATCCTCCTACCTTAGCCTCCCAAAGTTCTGGGATTGTAAACATGAGCTGCCTGGTCAGCAATGGCAATTTTGGACGATTTCTAGGCAAATGAACAAAATAGAATGTTGCTGCTATGATACTTGTAAACAGTGACATTGGAAAATAAATATTATTAAATTTAAAAAGACTATAAAAATATGTATATTGGCCAGGTGTGGTGGCTCATGCCTGTAATCCCAACACTTTGGGAGCCAGAGGTGGGTGGATCACCTGAGGTCAGAAATTCCAGACCAGCCTTGCAACATGGTGAAACCCTGTCTCTACTAACAATAGAAAAATTAGCTGGGCATGGTGGCGGGTGCCTGTAATCCCAGCTACTTGGGAGGCTGAGGCAGGAGAATCAGTTGAACCCAGGAGGCAGAGGTTGCAGTGAGCTGAGACTGCTACATTGCACTCCAGCCTGGGCAACAAGAGTGAAACCCTGTCTCAAAAAATAATAATAAATCTATTTTTAAAAATTTATTATGGGCCGGGCGCGGTGGCTCAAGCCTGTAATCCCAGCACTTTGGGAGGCCGAGGCGGGCGGATCACGAGGTCAAGAGATCGAGACCATCCTGGTCAACATGGTGAAACCCCGTCTCTACTAAAAATACAAAAAATTTAGCTGGGCATAGTGGCGTGTGCCTGTAATCCCAGCTACTCAGAAGGCTGAGGCAGGAGAATTGCTTGAACCCAGGAGGCGGAGGTTGCGGTGAGCCGAGATCGTGCCATTGCACTCCAGCCTGGGTAACAAGAGCGAAAACTCCGTCTCAAAAAAAAAAAAAAAAAAAAATTTATTATGAAAACCAGTCTGGCCGACACAGTGAAACCCCATCTCTATTAAAAATACAAAAATGAGCCGGGCTTGGTGACTTATGCCTGTAATCCCAGCACTTTGGGAAGCTGAGGCAGGCAGATCGTGAGGTCAGGAATTCCAGACCAGCCTTGCAACATGGTGAAAACCCGTCTCTACTAAAAATATAAAACTGGGCATGGTGGTGGGTGCCTGTAATCCCAGCTACCTAGGAGGCTGAGGCAGGAGACTTGCTTGAAACTGGGAGATGTAGGTTGCAGTGAGCCGAGATCACACCAGTGCACTTCAGCCTGGGTGACAGAGCAAGAATCCATCTTGGGGAAAAAGAAAAGAAAAGAAATATAAAATTTAGCCAGGTGTGCTGGTACATGCCCGTAATCCCAGCTATTCTGGCAGCTGAGGCATGAGAATCGCATGAACCTGGGAGGCAGAGGTTGCAGTGAGCTGACATTGTACTCCAGCTTGGGCAACAGAGCAAAACTCTGTCTCAAAAAAAAGACTGCTTATGAATCAGATATTTCTTAATATATTGGATATAGATTAAAGTGAGCTCTCAAGGATTTTGAGACAAAGGTAAAAGATCAAATGTTTTACTAACTTAAATTACTGCAAAAGGCAAAGTACCTATGTGGCAAAAGCCATTTTATTTTATTTTTTATATTTGAAAAAAATATGCAACACTTGGTGAATTTACATGTATCCTTGCACAGGGGCCATGCCAATCTTCTCTGTACCATTCCAATTTTAGTTTATGTGCTGCCGAAGTGAGTACGCAAAAGCCGTTTTAAAGCAGACCTCTCTAATAGAAAAAATACAAAAAAAACAAAAAAAACAAAACAAAAGAAGAACAAAAAACAAACCAAAAAAAAAAGAAAAAAAAAAGAAAAAAAAAAATAAAGCAGACCTCTCTTATCGAGGAATTAGATTATGGGAGGCATAGATTAGTGAGTTAGAAGAGATGGATTTTTAGGAAATCTTGAGGACTGTTATTTAAGGAGAACCTATCTGTTCATTGTAGTCTTCATTATATAAGGTAGAAAATGGAAAACAACCTAGATGTCCAGTAATAGAGGAATTATTAAATAAATTACAGTATTTGGTTTATTCAGGGTTAATCTAATTACTTGATACAGAAGTTGGCTCAGGTCACCTGAAATGGAATGGGGAAAATTTATTTTAAGTATTTGTGGGTCATGTGCAGTGGCTCATGCCAGAAATCTCAGCACTTTGGGAGGCTGAGGTGGGTGGATCACATGAGGTCAGGAGTTCAAAGCCAGTCTAGCCAACATGGTGAAACCCTGTTTCCACTGAAAATACAAAAATTAGTCGGGTGTGGTGGCGCATGCCTGTCCCAGTTACTTGGAAGGCTGGGGCAGGAAAATTGCTTGAATCTGGGAGGCAAAGGTTGCAGTGAGCCAAGATCACACCACTGCACTCCAAGCCTAGGTGACAGAGCAAGACTATCTCCAAAAAAAAAAAAAAAAAAAAATCCTATATATTTTTTTAAATTTCAAAAGGAATACATGTTTATTATAACCAGTGAATCAGTGCAAAATGTATTTAAAATCCTTAAGGTGCTTGGCTGGGCGTGGTGGCTCAAGCCTGTAATCCCAGCACTTTGGGAGGCCGAGGCGGGTGGATCACAAGGTCAAGAGATCGAGACCATCCTGGTCAACATGGTGAAACCCTGTCTCTACTAAAAATACAAAAAATTAGCTGGGCATGGTGGCACGTGCCTGTAGTCCCAGCTACTCGGGAGGCTGAGGCAGGAGAATTGCCTGAACCCAGGAGGCGGAGGTTGCGGTGAGCCGAGATCGCACCATTGCACTCCAGCCTGGGTAACAAGAGCGAAACTCCGTCTCAAAAAAAAAAAAAAAAAAAAAAAATCCTTAAGGTCCTGTCTCCAACCTTTCATGATTTTTATCTCCATGAAGTTACTAATATTAATACAACTTTGTTATGTTTCCTTCCATGTTTTTCTCAACTACCTTATGATCAAATTTTTTCAATAATTTAATTTGATATATTGATTCTAATTTAATCCTTTATGGTCAAAGAATATGCTGTTTGGTTTGAGTCCTTCTGAACTTATTGAGACTTGTATATGGCCAAGGATGTGGTCTATTTTGGTAAATATTCTGTGTACACTTGAGAGGAATGTGTATTGTCCTCTTATTGGGTATAGTGGTGTGTTTTTGTTCTTGTTTTTAAGATGGAGTTTTGCTCTTGTTGCCCAGTCTGGAGTGCAATGACGCTATTTCAGCTCACCACATCCTCCTCCTTCTGGGTTTAAGTGATTTTCCTGCCTCAGCCTGTTAAGGAGCTGGGATTATAGGCATGTGCCACCATGCCTGGCTAATTTTTTGTATTTTTAGTAGAGATGGGGTTTCTCCATGTTGATCAGGCTGGTCTCAAACTCCCGGCCTCAGGTGATTCACTTGCTTTGGTCTCCCAAAGTGCTGGGATTACAGGTATGAGCCACTGCCCCTGGCCAGGTATAATGTTCTATAAATGACAATCGGGTATATTTGGTTGACACTGTACAACTCTACCATATCCTTACTAATTTTCTGCCTACCTGTTTTATCATTTATTGACAAAGGAATTTTGAAATTTCTGTCTATAATTTTGAAATTTCTGTAGACGTCTATGTTTCTTCTTACAGTTCTATCAGTTTTTTTCTTCGTGTAATAAACCCGATTATTATTAGATATAATTAGGCATAAACATTTAGAATTAGGTCCTTCTGATTAATAGATCCTCCTCCTTTACCATTATGAAATTACTTTCTTTACCCTTGGTAGTCTCCTCTACTTTGAAGTCTGCTTTGACACTATGATATAGCCATTTGTACTTTCTTTTGACTAGTGTTAGCATAGTATATATATGTATATTTTATCGTTTTACTTTTAACCTGTATTTCTCTTCATGTTTAAAATGTTTTTCTTGTAGATAGCTTATACCATGAATCCTGCCTTTTTATCCAGTTTGAAAATCTCTGTTTTTTATTTGGGGTATTTGGATTTGCATTTCCTGTGATGCAAAAAATTTTTTTAATAATAAAAAATAATAATTGTGTAAATGGAGTACAGTGTGATGTGGATTTTTTTTTTTATTTTTTATTTTTTTGAGACAGAGTGTCGCTCTTGTTACCCAGGCTGGAATGCAATGGCGCAATCTCAGCTCACCGCAACCTCCACCTCCTGGGTTCAAGCAATTCTCCTGCCTCAGCCTCCTGAGCTGGGATTACGGGCAGGTGCCACCACGCCTAGCTAATTTTTTTTTTTTTTTTTTTTTGAGACGGAGTTTCGCTCTTGTTCCCCAGGCTGGAGTGCAATGGCGCGATCTCAGCTCACCGCAACCTCCGCCTCCTGGGTTCAGGCAATTCTCCTGCCTCAGCCTCCTGAGTAGCTGGGATTACAGGCACGCACCACCATGCCCAGCTAATTTTTTGTATTTTTAGTAGAGACGGGGTTTCACCATGTTGACCAGGTTGGTCTCGATCTCTCGACCTCGTGATCCACCCGCCTCGGCCTCCCAAAGTGCTGGGATTACAGGCTTGAGCCACCGCGCCCGGCCTCTGCCCAGCTAATTTTTGTATTTTTAGTAGAGATGGGGTTTCACCATGTTGACTAGGATGGTCTCAATCTCTTGACCTGGTGATCCACCCGCCTCAGCCTCCCAAAGTGCTGGGATTACAGACGTGAGCCACCACCTGGCCTGTTTTTTTCTTTTTTTTTTTTGAGAAGGAGTCTTATTCTGTCCCCCAGGCTGGAGTGCAGTGGCGTGATCTTGGCTCACTGCAACCTCCACCTCCTGGGTTGCAGCAATTCTCCTGGCTCAACCTCCCAAGTAGCTAGTATTACAGGTGTGTGCCACCATGCCTGGCTAATTTTGGTGGGTTGTTCTTTTTTTAGTTTAATTTTTTTTTTAAAGATGAGGTTTCACCTTGTTGACCAGGCTGGTCTTTAACTCCTGACCTTTGGTGATCCGCCTACCTCCGCCTCCCAAAGTGCTCGGATTACAGATGTTAGCCACCGCGCCCGGCCTTGGTATGTTTTTTAGTAGATACTGGGTTTCACCATGTTGGCCAGGCTGATCACAAACTCCTGACCTCAAGTGATCCTCGCACCTCCATCTCCCAAAGTGCTGGGATTATAGACATGAGCCACTGCAGCCGGCCCAATGTGATGTTTTGATGTATGTGTTTAATCACTGTGGAATAATTAAATCAAGCTAATTAAACATATCCATCACTTTACGTATTTACTGTTTTTTGTAGTGAGAGCATTTAAAATTTACTCTTGGCTGAGGTGGTGGTAAGCTGAGATTGCACCACTGTGCAATCTCACACCTATAATTCCTAAATTAATAATAAAGTATTGTATACTTCAGAATTGCTAATAATACATTAAAAAAAATTTTTTTAAAATAATTTACACACTTTTTATTTTAGTTTTTAAGCCAAAATCTCACTCCGTCATCCAGGCTAGCGTGCAGTGGCATGATCTCAGCTCACTGCAGCTTCAACCTCCTATATTAAAGCTTCGATCTCCTATGTTTAATCTCCTATGTTAAACCTCTTGAATATCTAAAACTATAGGCGCACCCCACCATGCCCAGCTAACTTTTAAAATTTTTTAGAGATGGGTTTTTGCCATGTTGCCCAGGCTGGTCTTGAACTCCTGAAGTCAAGCCATCTACTCACCTTTGCCTCCCAAAGTGCTAGGATTATAGGCGTGCACCACCATATCCAGCCTGTTGTCATTTTTCTTTAGCCTAAAAGACATCTTTTTTTTTTTTTTGAGATGGAGTTTCGCTCTTGTTACCCAGGCTGGAGTGCAATGGCGCGATCTCGGCTCACCGCAACCTCCACCTCCTGGGTTCAGGCAATTCTCCTGCCTCAGCCTCCTGAGTAGCTGGGATTACAGGCACGCGCCACCATGCCCAGCTAATTTTTTGTATTTTTTTTTAGTAGAGACGGGGTTTCAGCATGTTGACCAGAATGGTCTCGATCTCTCGACCTCGTGATCCACCCGCCTCGGCCTCCCAAAGTGCTGGGATTACAGGCTTGAGCCACCGCACCCGGCCTAAAAGACATCTTTTAACATTTCTTATAGTGTGGGTCTGCTAATGATGAATTCTTTAGCTTTTGTCTGACTGAAAACATCTTTACTTAACCTTTGTTTTTGAAAGATATTTTTACCAGGTATACTAGATTGGCAGTACTTTAAAGATATTGATTAAGTAGCTTTTTGCTGACTTGTTTCTTTCTAATATGAAATCTGATGTCATCATTATATTTGTTCTTCTGTATGTACGTGTTCTTTTCCTCTGACTACTTTTAAGATTAATAACAATTTAGAATGCTTGATTATATGTCTTGAGAGAATTAACTTCATTTTCCTGTATTTGGGATTTATTGGGCTTTTAGATATATAGATCTATAATTTTCCTCACGTTTGGAAAGTTTTGAGCCATTATTTCTTTTTTTTATTTTTTATTTTTTATTTTTTGAGATGGAGTCTTGCTCTGTTGCCCAGGCTGGAGTGCAGTGGTGCAATCTCAGCTTACCACAACCTCCACCTCCTGGGTTCAAGTGGTTCTCTTGCCTCTGCCTCCTGAGTAGCTGGGACTACAGGCTTGTGCTACCACACCCAGGTTTTTTTTTTTGTTGTTGTTGTTGTTTTTGTATTTTTAGTAGAGACAGTGTTTCACCATGTTCATCAGGCTGGTCTTGAACTCCTGCCCCTGTAATCTGCCCACCTTGGC